GCTTGGTGGTCCACATGGAGAGAGCGATATTTAATGCTAATCAAGGTTTTTATATTCTCTGGGGCCATGCAAGCCCCCTAATTACAGGTGAAGACATATGTCACAGGAAAGGGTTGTGCTATAGGTAATACAGTAATGGAAGGGGGTGGTCTAGGGGCATACACACAATAGGAAGAGGAGGGATTGGGGGTATGCATGTGACAAGATGGGCGGATCCTAAATTCAGGATGGCAGCTTAACTTTGGATGTCCCAGAGTGGGTTTGATCTGTTCTCTGGATCTCCATAAGAACCATTAGCAATAGGGTGTAAACCCCACCTACAGAAACCAAACTAATGGTCGCAAGCCTCAGGGAGAAGTAGTCCATTGTCCCCAGCAGCAGGGAGCAGGCCCACCCTGGGGTGGGGCAAGACAGCAGTCTGGTAGCTGATTGCCTCAAGGGAAATAACTTTTACCATTAGCTGCAAGCAGTGTCCTGTGTCTAACATATTTGGAGGAGATGACTTTGGAGAAATCTTTCTGTTTCCCACAGTCCATCATAAGTTCCCAAACTTATTTGGGCTACTGCCCCTTTTCAGAAAAAAAAATTAAAAAAAGCCTCAAAGCTTTCCTCCACCCAGACCCTCAGCAAATAAAACTTTTGTACGATAGCCCACAATCTAGGATAAAGTGTGGGTATCTGCTTTTGTAGTCCCACCCACCATTCCAGTGCCCACAGGATGTGATATTGCCCACTGTGGGAGACACTCGTCTACATGGACAGTAAGCTGACTGTTTGCTTTCAGGCTCTGAAAATGGCTCACGTGGGCATCTCTCTGTCAGAGCAGGAGGCATCTGTGGCCTCACCATTCACGTCCAAAACTCCGAACATTGAGTGTGTGCCCCACCTTATCAAGTAAGTAGGCCCTTCCCTCCTGCAGTGTTTCACTTCCTGGAACCCAATCACATGGTCCTGCCTGGGAAAGATGAGGGATGAGGGACTGCTTTGTAGGGGAAGGCAGTCAAACCGGCTACTGCCAAAGTTGATTTACCAAGAGTTAAGGGTAAAACTGTGAGAAGAACGGCATTTCAATGAAAATCATTGATCAGGTAATTTTGAGGAGGTGCACTGTGGTTTTAGGTGCCCTCGAGTCGGTTCTGGCTCATGAACAATAGAACGAACCGCTACCTGGTCCTGTGCCAGCCCCACAATTGTTCTTATGCTTGAGTCCACTGTTCCAGTCTGTGCGGCAATCTACATTGTGGAGGGTCTTCCTCATTTCGCTGCCCCACTACTTTACCAAGCGTGCTGGCCTTCTCCAGGGACAGGTCTCTCCTGACAACATGGCTACCACATGTCTGACAGTTTGCCACGCTGCGGTGGCTTCTGTGTTGCTGTGATGCTGCAAACAATGTCACTGGTATTTCACATGTCCGCAGAGTCACCCAAAATGAAAGCAGAGGTTCCAGACTATGAGTAGATGTTCCGCTTCTTCGCAATTACCCACTGAAAACCTTATGGGCAGAAATGGAAACACTGTCAGATACTAAAGACCCCGTGAAAAGCAGCAGGACAACGGAGATGCTGCCACAAAATGAGCCCCTCGGGTCAGAAGGCTCTCAAAGTAGGACTGAGGAAGAGCTGTCTTCTCAAGACAGCGTGAACCCTAATGAGGTGGACGGAGAAGAGCTGAGAGACTTTCGTTTGCTGATGGGTCACGGAGTTTAGGAGATAGGAAGGTGGAGTTTACTACTACTTGGGACGTTCTAATCATTCCTATTATGTATTTATTTACTTTTTCTTGTTTTTTCTTGGATCTGGGAGATGGATGAAAACCTTCTTTTCCCCATTTGCCCTCTTTCTCTGTGCTTTTTTGTGCTTCTTTCTTCCTTTGAGTTTGCCTGCCTGGCAGTAGTTTTCAAAACATGTCTTTATCTTTGCTGCTCCCACTAAAATTCTCCTTGCTTCTGTATTTCTTCCCACACACACATTTTCCTGTTCATTTTATTTGAGTGGTAGAGATAGTTAGCAATGGATACTTCTGGTTATTATAATAGCTATCATGTGTTTGTACTTTAAGAAGGACTTTGCTGCTAAAGAGTTTATATTTCAAAGGATCCTGGAAATATAGGAGTGGTTGTTATTTCTTGTACAAATAAAACAGGCCCAGAGAACATAAATGATATGTCAAAGATCACACAGTTAGAGGCTGAATTTGAATACATTTTATTTAAATGCATTTTATGTTAAAATCTCATGTAACATATCTCACATTCTTCTCACCATATTAAAAATAGTGTTTTTTTTCCTGGCTCTTTTCAAGGTTTTAATTTATTCATGCATTCAGTTGGTAAGCAGGCATTTCATGCCAGCCACTGCTGTCAGGACTAGGGACCAAGAAAAAATAAACAACAAAAAAAATGAAACTGTAGATCTCACAAAATTTTCTATCAGTATAGGCAGTCAGGAAGTGAACAGGTAGAGAGATACAATAAAGACAACAGTTGTAATCTTTTATTCCTCAAGCTGAAATAACCGAAGACAACATTTAAGCCTTGAATTTCAATATTGAAGGAGTCTACGGGGAAAATCTGAAGGACTTAGGAAACATCAAAAGAAGGTAGAAGGAACCTACTAGAAGAGATCCATGTACGTGCCTATTCCTCCCCAATAGGTGATCCAACAGAATATAGGAATTTTTTAACAATATCATTAATAATGGAACACAAGTGAATTTTAGCTCAAGGTAATTAAAATGTGGTTGCAGCAGCACATCAACAGGAAACTGCCAGAGATTCAAGCTGGATTCAGAAGAGAGTGGAATGACCTCATACCATTGCTGAGGTCAGATGGATCTAGGCTGAAAGTAGGGAAGCCCAGAGAGTTGTTTGCTTGCGTTTCATTGACGATGCAAAGGCTTCTAACTGTGTAGATCATAACAAATCATGGATTTATCCTTGTGAAGAACGGGAGTTGCGGAACACTTCACTTTGCCCTTGTTAATCTGGTGCATAGACCAAGAGGCAGTCTGTTCAAAATCAGGAAAGGTGAGTGTAAGCATCATCCTCTTTTAGTATCCTTATTCCATCGGTGTGCTAGCAGCTATCCTGGGAAACTAGGCTAGATGAAGCAGAATGGGGCCCCAGGATTAAAGAGGACTCCTTAACAACCTATTCTATGTAGACGGTACAATCTTGCTGCTGAAAGGAAGAAGACTTGGAGCACTTATTTGTGGATAGCAAAGACTATAGCCTTCAGTATAGATCACTCTGTAATTTAAAAAATAAAAATCCTCACAACTGGGTGAGTGAGCAACCTCATGTGAAAACACAGAAAAGATTGGCATCATCAAGGACTTCATTTTGCTTGAGTCCATGATCAATGCCCCCGGAAACAGCAGTCAAGACACCATGCGCTATATTGCACTGGTCCAATCTGCTGCAAAAGACCTCTTTAAAGTGCTAAAAGCCAAGATGCCACTTTGAGGATGACAGTGCCTCTGACAAAGCCGTCGGATAGCCAGGTGCATCATGTGCCCGTTAGAGCTGGACAACAATGAAGACAGACCCGGGAGGAATCAAGCTCGGGTTGATGAAGACCATTCAATTTACGGTGGTCTACCAGAAGAACAGATCTGTCTTGAAAGAACAGCCAGGCATGCTCCCTAGAATTGAGGATTGCTAGTTTTTATTTTTTTTCCCCACATACTTGGGCATATACCAGGAGGGAACAGTCACTGGAGAAGGATGGCATTCTCGGTGAAGTCGAGGGTCACCAAAAAAGAAGAAAAACCCTGAAATGGATTGACGGTGACTGCAGCTAGGGGCTCACTCAGAGTAATGGTTGTGAGGATGGTGCTGGAGTGAGCAGTGTGTTCTGTGTGCATAGGCTCACTATGAATCAGAGGGCACTTGACATTACCTAATGGAATGAATAAAAAAATAATCAAGAAAAAATCAAGCCTTGGCTACACAGTGGTGAAAGCCTTTGCTGGTAGCTGAAATGTTGCCAGTTATAACCCACCTGCCATTCCATGGGAAAAGATGTGACAACCTGCTTCTGTAAAGTTTTACACCTTTAGCCATTCTATGGGGCAGTTCTACTCTATCCCATTGGGTCGCTGTGAGTGGAAATTGATTTGGTAGCAATAGGTTTAGTTGGTTGGTTTTTGGAAGGTGAGATGTGGTGTGGTAGAGTTAAGTGTTCAACTACTAACCTAAAAGCACAGGCTTGATTCTACTGAGAGTCATTTCTTCAGGTCTCTGGCAGGCAACTTACAAAAAATACCCATTGAAAACAGTATCTTGACACACATGATACGTTGTCATAAGTTGAAATTAACTGTATGTAGTAAAAGATTCTGTCAACAAAATATTGCCCAATACAGGAAGCATTCAAAGATGGAAGGAATCTACAAAGCCACTGTACCTTAAGGAACTAGTTGACATGCGGTCATTTCAAGAGGTAGCATATGTGCAAAAACCAATGGTACAGGAAGAAGTCCAAGCTGCACCAAAGGCATTAGCCAAAAACAAGGCTCTAGGAATGGACAGAATACCAATTGCAGTACTTCGGCAAGCTAATGAAGCACTGGAGGCACTCACTGTGCCAAGGAATTTGGAAAATAGCTCCCTGGCCAACCAACTGAACGAGATCCATATTTGTGTTCATTCCAAAGAAAGGGGACTCAACAGGATGCTCCCTTTGAGGACTAGCCATGTGTTTTATGGATTTATTTATTTGTTTGTCTTTAAGCCATGGTTTTTCCAATCACCTCATATGCATGTGAACGATGGACATTGAATAAGAAAGACCAAAGAAGAAGAGATGCATTTGAATTTCAGTGCTGGGGAAGAATGTTGAAAGTACCATAGACTGCCAAAAGAACAAATAAATCTGTCTTGGAAGAAGGACATCCAGAATGCTCCATGGAAGAAGGACAGTGAGACTTTGTCTCATCTATTCTGGACATGCTATCAGGTGATACCATTCCCTGAAAAATGGTATCATGCTCGGTAAAGTGAAAGGGCAGCAAAACAAAGCACTGACACAGTGGCTGCAACAATGGGCTCAAGCACAGGAACAGTTATGAGGACCGGACAGGACCGGGCAGCATCTCATTCTGTTCTGTACAGGGTTACTATGAGTCAGAACCAACTTGATGGCACCTCAAAGCAACCATCAAGGGGTGGGCAAGGGTAATATGAAAGGTAATATGAAGACTTGGGAGGGGGTTGTTGCTGCAGATGGGGTGTTTGGGAAAGAAGTCAGGAATGAGGGCATGATCTACCTCTTAGACACAGCAGATGGCTGCGACAAAGTACGGACACAGGAACCCTCTTGACTTGATGGTCAGGTCTGGGAAGCTGAGGAAATCATTATCACTACGTAGTTGTTTGCTTTTCAGTTGATTCCACCTCACAGCAATCTTATAGGATCAAGAGTAGGCTGTCCCGTAGAGGTTTCTGAGCTGAGGTCCCTCTGGTCTTTTCTCCCGAGAAGCAGCTGCTGCATTTGAGCTGCTGCCCTTTTGGTTAGTATGTGAGCACTGAACTATTGTGGCACCAGAGCTCTCTGTTATGATGATAAGTAAATATAAAGCTATTTTTCTCAAGTGATGTAGATAAAATCAGTATTTCATATATAATCTATTTTATACTTTAAACACATTATATTCAATCAGTCACTCAAAAAGAACACAAGTTAGCATACTTAGAGTCTCAAAATAAGACACACACACACACACACACACACAAGTTGCCAAGAAGTCAGTTTTGACTCAGGCAACCCCATGTGTGTGTCAGAATCGAACTCTTCTTTGTAGGATTTTCAATGACTGAGTTTTCATCTGTGGATCGCCAGACCTTTCTTCTGAGCACCCCTAGGTGCACCTGGAGCCTTTTGGTTAGCAGCTGGACATGTTAACCATCTGCACTGCTCACTTAGAGTTTTCAATCTATTTAAATTTGATACATGGTTCGTGAGAGAATGCTTGTTGTTTTATTACGGTGTTAGAAATCGTTGAAAAGGACAGAATTCAATTTTAATCACGTACTTGCCAAATTCCTGAAGCATCTGTGTGCAAATAGACCTTGAACTTGCAATCTTACTTAAATTCCTTTGCTCACAGATAGCAAAACTGTGACTGCGAGGTAGAAATGACCTGCCATGCATTAATGCGTAGCGACAGTGTCTGGGACCGGCTCCCAGGTGCTGTGACTCTGAGGTCAGGTGTTGAAATGATGTCCACCGAGACACGAGAGCAATCTGAAATGTGGACTCCCTGGCTGGATCAGGGTCTATGAAAATTGGCCGGGAATTGGTCCTCCCCGAAACTCTAGCCAGTTCCCATTGACTCTAGGCTCTCTAGTCTGTCAGGCAAACAATCGGATAATCAGACTTTTGATAGTTTCCTCTTGAGCTCAGCTGAGCAGCCCAGAATAACTGACCTCATTTCTGTTCTTTATGCAGGGAAGGACGTGCGGCTCTCGTGACCTCATTCTGCATGTTCAAGTACATGGCTCTGTACAGCATGATTCAGTATGTTGGTGTTCTGCTGCTCTACTGGGTATGACTGGCACCTAGCCTCTTGGTTAGCGAGGACTAAAAGTGGTAGAGGTGCACCCTCAATTTGCAGTGCCTCTTCATGAAGGCAGGACCCTGGTGGAGTGGTAGGTTTTGCGTTAGTTAGTAGTTTAAAATCACTAGCCCTCCATGGGCAGCAAAGATGAGGCTTTCAACTCCCATAAAGAGTTACATTCTTGGGAACCTTAAGCGGTAGTTCTACCCTGTCCTGTAGGGTCCCCATGAGCCCCCAGTGGTCCCATGGCAGTGTTAAGGAAGAAATGTCAATACGACATTTGAGCACCAAGGGCTACATTAGAAGCATTTCTGTACATCAGAAATAGGCAAATAATGCCAATTCTCCATCTCTTGGACACACCAACATTTATTTAATAAGAGCTCAGGAGCGGTACCGAACACAGAACTGCCTCTCTCGCAGCCACTTTTATCCATCCAGTTCTGACAGCATTCTAACCTCCCCAATTCTAAGGTGGTTCTGTTCTGCCATGGCACAACAGTAATTAATGAGATGATTCTCTGCATAAATGCTATATAACTATCAAACCTTGATTATTAATGGTTGCCAATTTCTGTAGTGTAAATACTTCCATCACAGTCAATTTCAGACTTCAAACTTGGCGTCAATGAATGTGGAGCTGAGGAAACATGCACAGTAGCACATCATTATATGATACTTCTGCCAAGAAGATGCATACCATATCAAGAGCACCGATCACAATGAGATGTGGTAACATTCTTAGGAAGTACAGAGTTTTGTGTATTCATTACTTTTGTTTATAACACAGTTTTTTAGGGTATGTTTTAATAATTTACTCATAAATGCATATCTATGTAAATGACACATTTATCTATGTGTATAAACACATAATTTAGGAACCCCAGTAGTATAGCAGATTCTGTGTTGGGTTCTAACCGGCAGGTCAGAAGTTTGACATCACCAGCTGCTCTATGGTAGGAAGGTGAGGCTGTCTGTTTCGGTAAAGAGCCACAGCCTTGGAAATCCTCAGGGGCAGTTCTCCTCTGCCCTGTAGAGTCACTACGAGTCAGAATTGACCCTATGGTAGCGAATTTGGTTTAGATTTTGCATAAGCTTGCTGTTAGCGTGCCTGGAGCCATGAGAATGGCTGATTGTGACATGAGTCGCAATCAACTTGAGGACAGTGAGTTTGATTTTCTGAGTGCTTAACAACTGTCATACAGAATGCCTGAAACTCTGGCCACTAGTTGCTGTGAGCTACAGCCATACCACAGATTCCCGGCACTGTGGGCACTAAAAAAGTAACATACCATACCACCAAAAGTAGAGGTCTTGTGAGGGCTTTTATTATTATTAATATCAACAAGATAATATTAGTGGGAAAAAAATCCTCTTGCTGTGAACCCAACTCCTGAGCTGATTTTATCAAGTATCACTGTTTTTTTTTTCAAAAAGATTATTTTATTCATGCTGAACTCTTATAGCATCGTCTCTATACAGTATTGCTCCCTGCTGCTCTGCTAGAAATTTTAGCTCTGTTATTTGTAGATTGCCTACGTCTTTTCCCACTCACCAATAAACAGCTTGGAAAAGGCCAGGTTGTTTATGGAAAGTTAACGCTATTTTGAAGTCTCAATAACTCATCATGCTTCTAAAAACAGTTAAACTTGCGATTTCATTATCTCCTTCCCACTAGGGGTGATGGGTGGGCCTGGAAAGTGATGAAACAAATATGCTTCTAATCCATAAAACCGGAACACATTTTCTTCAAAGGTATCAGTGCTTTGCAACATTAAGTCTTACACTACTCAAGAATGCAAATCATAGGTTCTGTTATTCTCATGTTCCATCTGGTAAAATTTAGATATAATCACACACTTGTCACATGTGCTCCTGGGAATGCACTGCTTCTGTGTGCCAGACGAAACCCCGCTTCTCTGTCTAAAAGCAGAACAAAGAGCAGAGCTACATCTGGTGGAGGAGAGCCTTGTCCTCAACAAAGGGCTGTTCTAACACTCACACAACCAGCCTAGAGAGACACTACCTGCTTAGTGACCCTCTTGTTTAATGAGAGCTTCACAGACTTGACTTTGAGTATTCTCATGGACCCACAGAGGTCCCAGGTATACCACCTCTTCGGTAATTTCCTAGAAATCCTTCCATTGCAAATGAATGCAGTTGATGTCAGCCTTCATCCAGAAGGTAATAGCTTTTTTGAGCCTCATTTCATTTCTTTTTTTTTATTTCAGGAAACAAACAGCCTTTCAAATTACCAGTTTCTCTTCCAGGATTTGGCCATAACAACTCTTATTGGTATAACAAGTAAGGCATTTAAAAAACTTTCTTCCCAAGCCACTCCCCTCATCTGGTTTCCTCTGCCCCAGAAGGGTCCCCCTGCCAGTTGGGGGGCAGGGGCCAGAAGAAAAGGAGTGCTATGCATATCCCGAAGGGGTATGCAGAAAGAGAAGAAGTGGAGGCCTCATTTCTGAGTGTTGAGAAAAAGCTGACTTGCTATTTTAATGTTTCCAAACAAAAAACAGAGCTTTTGTAGAGTCTCTAAGCGTTTAAAAAGAAGACCCCCAAACACCTTGAAGACCAGGCCTGCTGACAGTCTGTTTTGAGAATGTTGTGGTTTAAGGGCAGTCAAGGTGGTTTCCCCTCATGGAGACCCAAGGCCAGCATTCCTCGGTCCTGTGTCCTCACAATCGTTCCCAGGGCTGAGCCATCAATGCAACCCCATCTTGTTGAGGGCCTTGCTCTTTTTCACCGGCCCCCTACTTTACCAAGCATGATGTCCTTCTTCAGGGACATGTCTCTCCTGACAACCTGTCCAAAGTGTAGGAGACGAAATCTCTCCATCCTTGATTCCAAGGAACATTCTGACTGTACTTCTTCCACGGCATATTTGTTGGTTCTTTTGCTATCAATGATGCTATCAATATTGTTGCTACTACCCCTTGTCTGTCAGTTTCTCGTAACTGTGGTGTTTTGCGTATTTCAAATACCAGCAGTGTATTTAACAAAGTCAATATCGGGGTGTACCGACGTGAACAGCCCATGGTACTTTCCCTATTCTTTGCCAAAGGCATCGATTCTTTTTCTTCTTTTTCGGTCTTCCTTTCTTTAAAAAAAAAATCATTTTATTGGGAACTCTTACAGATACAATAACATTCCACAGTTCAATCACACCAAGCAGTATTGTACAATTGCTGCCGCAGTCGTCTTTGGTCTTTCTTATTCAAGGTCCAAGTTTCATAGGCATATGAGCTGATTAAAATACTTGGCTTGGCTCAGGCTCACCTAGTCCTCAAGGCAACAGCCTTGTTTTTCAACACGTTAAAGAGATCCTGAGCAGCAGACCTACCCAAAGCAATGTATCCTTTGATCTCTTGACTGCTGCTTCCAGGAGCATCGATTGGGAATTCGAGTAAGTCTCCATCCTTGACAATTTCAACCTTTCCTCCATTTATCATGAGGTTACTGATGGGTCCAGTTGTGAGAATTTTTGTGTTCTTTACACTGAGTTGTAAAGAGTTTCAATCTTCGTTCTTCATCATAAGTGCTTCAAGTCCTCCTCACTGTCAGCAAGCAAGGTTGTGTCACCTGCGTATCGTAGGTTGTTAGGAAGCCTTCCTCCAATCCTGATGCTGCATTCTTCTGACCTTAGGCTGTTTTTCTCTCTGTTGTACTTCAATGCCACCACTTCCACGTACAGTTTGCATCCTGTTTCCTCACACCTTCTCAAGGACTTTATTCCTACAATAACCACATTCTTCACTATCAACAACTTTTTCTCTGATCTACGGGATTATAATCAGTAGCATATCAATATAACAACGTCTTCCTTTTCAAGAAATTCTTCTTTGACTCAAAACTCCTCACCAGCTATTGTCTCTTTTAGTCTCACATTTCCTAAGTAGTTGTATCTCTCCACGTACTCCACTTCGGATCTCTCATTCTACCATCATTCTGTTTTCATCAGTCTTCAATCCCTACCATCAGAGGAGCAGTCAAATTCCAGTACTTGAAGGCATGACTCTGGATGTTGTTTGTTGGAAGGCAGTGTTGTGGTTGCAAATATATAGCAACTGGTTCTCTAAAATAATTGTGCGTGCACGCGTGCGTGTGTGCACGCGCATATGTTGGGTGGTGCAAATGGTTAAGCACAATGAAAAGTTAATGGTTCAAGTTCACCTCAAGGTGGCTTTGGGAGACAGGTCTGGTGATTTTCTGACTGAACAGTCACAGCTTTGAAAACACAGAGATCATTGGATCTCTCTGAGTCATCATTGACTGGACTACAACCAATGATAAAAACATTATAAACTTTACCCAAGTTAAGATCGTCTAGTAAAATAATTTGAAAATAATAATAAAGATACAGGAATCCTTATTACAAATTCCATGTAGCTAATTGATCCTCAAAGAATCCTTTTTAAAAAATCAAATGTTGATTAAAAAAAAAATCATTGTATTTGGGGCTCTTACAGCTCTTATCACAATCCATACATTCATCCATTGTGTCAAGCACATTTGTATATATGCTGCCATCATCATTTTCAAAGCACTTTCTTTCTACCTGAGCCCTTGGTATCAGCTCATCCCCCCTCCCCCACTCTCCCTCCATCATGAACTCTTGACAATTTATAATTTTTATTTTCATGTCTTACACTGACCTCTGTCTCCCTTCACCCACTTTTCTGTTGCCCATCCCCCTGGGAGGGGGTTATATGTAGGTCATTGTGATCAGTTTCCCCCTTCTCCCCCAACCTTCCCCTTCCCCTCCTGGTATTGCTACTCTCATTATTGGTCCTGAGGGGTTTATCTGTCCTGGATTCCCTGTGTTGGGAGCTCTTATCTGTACCCGTGTACATGCTCAGGTGTAGCCAGATTTGTAAGGTAAAATTAGGATCGTGATAGTGGAGGGGGAGGAAGCATTAAAGAACTAAAGCAGTGGTTCTCAATCTTCCTAATGCTGTGACCCTTTAATACAATTCCTCATGTTGTGGCTATCCCCCAACCATAAAATTATTTTCATTGCTACTTCATAACTGTAATTTTGCTACTGTTATGAATCAGGCAACTCCTGTGAAAGGGTCGTTCCACCCCAATGGGGTCGCAACCCACAGGTTGAGAACCGCTGAACTAGAGGAAAATTATATGTTTCATCAGTGCTGTACTGCACCCTGACTGGCTCATCTCTTCCTTGTGACTCTTCAGTGAGGGGATGCCCAATTGTCTACAGATGGGCTTTGGGCCTCCACTCCACCCTCTCCCTCATTCACATCCATATGACTTTTTGTTCTGGATCTTTAATGCCTGATACCTGATCCCATTGATACCTCATGATCACACAGGCTGGTGTGCTTCTTCTACATGGGCTTTGTTGATTCTCAGCTAGATGGCCCCTTGTTCATCTTCAAGCCTTTAAGATGCCAGAAGCTATATCTTTTGATAGCTGGGCACCATCAGCTTTCTTCATCACATTTGCTTATGCACCCATTGTGTCTTCAGCGATGTTGTCAGGGAAGGTGAGCATCACCGAATGCTGGGTTATCAGAACAAAGTGTTCTTGTGTTGAGGGGGTACTTGAATAGAGGCCCAATGTCTATCTGCTACCTTAACACTTAACATATGTACATAGGTCTATTTCCCTATCGTTATAAAAAACCAAACTTTTGTATCCACAGTCAACCTTAAGTTGTAACTGATCAGAGAGTTAGTTCCAACATCAGTGCTGACTGATGACCTTAACAGACAAAATGAAAGTAAAACAGCAATGCCTGATGCCCAAACACAATTCTTTCCTCTATGATGTGAATACCTTCTTCGCTGAATCAGATATTCATTCTTGAATGCTGGAAGAATGTTTTCTCAACTTTTAAAATATTGCTCATGATGTAATAGATACAGATGTGACAGTGTTTTAAATCCAAGTTCTCTCCTTAACTTCAAGAATATTAATAACTCTAAAATGTAAACTAATCAGGAAGTGATCAGTTTTGAGTGTCCATTATCTTTTTCTTAAGTATATATATTTCCCTAATTGCAGGTTTATGGAATTTATTTCTGCTTAGCTGCTTTTAACTTTAACAATGGGCTCCTGCGAGCCATTCTGAGCTAGCTGCCGTGGCCAGTGACACTTCAAGCAGATGTCAGTTCTTGACTCCCTCCTCGACGTGCATTGTAGTCTGACTTTCACATCGTTCCCCTCTTATATCGTCTCATTTAATCATAACAGCTGTCCTGCCAACACGTAACTTTACAAAAAGGTGTTCAGAAGCTCTGCCTTTATAGAATGTGTTCAAAGGGAGACACTGCTGTCTCCACTTCAGCTGCCACTCTTGTCAACACTGGTGAAGTCCTTGCTGCCAACAACAATGTTTCATTGTTCTTTGGTCTCTCAACAGCAGCTCCATTCTCAAAAGGGTTCCTCTTTTGGCTTTTGTGATGTCACTCTTCTGGATTATCTACCACTTCAGTGACGACAGCCTCTCCACCATTGCCTTTGCTGGCCCCTGCTCCTTTACCTGTCACATAGCTTAAAACATGCCAAGGCTTGTTCTTTTCCATCTATTACCCCCCCCCCACCCTCGCTACACACACACACACACACACACACACCCCGTAGGATCTCAACAAGTCCTATGGCTTGAATGTCATTAACCCACGAATCCCAAATGTATACCTATAGCCTTGATGGAATCGAGAATCTAGAATTGTAACTACTCAGCATCTTCCTTTGAGTATTTATATCGAACGCAACATATCCAAACAGAATTCCTAATTTCACCAAATCTTTTTCCAGTTTTATACATCTCCATGTATTTAGGAAATTTAATAGATACTGAATGCTTCCTCTGTGCAACTTCATTGTATTAACCATTTGAAATAACAAACGCTTCTCCTTGGGAACTTATATTCTATTGAAGCTACACCACTGTTCACCTCATTTCTCAAGTCAAAGACTTGAAGTTGACCTTAATGCCCATCTCTTCATATACGTTGACTTGATGGCAGTGAGTTGAACTACTTTCAAGACATATCGTGAATCTCTTCTATCCAACTCGTGTAACCACTGTCACTAGGTAATGGCCCCTCTCTCGTGGATTTCTGCAGGAACTTTATCACTGGTCAGTTTACTTCCACTCTTGCTGTCTACCTGCCACTCACCTGTACACAATAGGAAGAATGTCGTCTTACCTCTGTAAATTGTTTTTATATTATTCTGCTAAAAACACTCTAGGGACTTCCTGGAACTTAAATTCTTACATGACTTAGTTCCTGCTTATTTCTTAACATCACCTCTAAGCACGTGGCCACAAAATTGATGATTCCAGCCACACTGATCCTTTCATGTCGCCAATAATGCCAAGCTTGTGGTCACCTCAGTGCCTTTGCATTGCTATTCCATTTTCCTAGAATAGGAGCCTGGAGGCACAGTGGGTTCTGTGTTGGGCTGCTAGCTACTGCGTCAGCTGTTCTAACCCACCAGCCTCACTGCAGGAGGAAGAGGAGGCAGATTACTCCTCTAAAGATATACAGCTTTGGAAACCCTAGAGAAGGATTCTACTTTTCCCTATAAGGCCACTATGTCAGCATCAACTTATGGGAGGTAGGAATTACCTATTACAAAGCTTCTTACACTCTTTGTAGCTTCCAATTTATCTCAATTATTACTGGGCTTTTTTTGAGGGGGGGTGTTTTAGTCTAGTTACTTTAGAGAAACAAATCCACAGCAACTCATGTATAAGAGAGTTTTATGTAAAGAAAGTGTGCATCATGAAAACATCCCAACCCAATGCTGCCCAAGCCCACAAGTCCAACATTAACCCATTAACCCAACAGCAGTCCACAAAGTCCTCCACCTCACAAAACAGAGGCAATGATGCTGACTGCAGGAGGAAAGCTGAGTCAGTGAACGAGTAAGCATCTCAGCACTAGCAGGGGTCTCTACACGGCTGCTCCAGCACCCAGGGCTGCATCGGGATAGGTCCATGTAGCTTCTCCTTGGGGATGTCTTGTAGGAAGTCAATCTTGCAAGCTGAAGCAGGGAACTACTAAGGCAGCTGCACCCTGGTGCAACCATCACAAAACAAGAGACCCGAGAGGCTCACCACCCATTTATCCCTCCGCCTTTCAATTAGCCCCTCATGTGTTTATCGGCCAGGTTGGCACAATTAACTAACTCAGGGGGGCTGTCATTGTTGTGCTTTGTACGTCTTACCACTGGTAAGTGATACCTGAACCACATACAAAAGCTTCTACTAATGAGAAGCTATTCATAAAGTGTTGGAATCAACTTGATGTGAGCGAGTCAGGAGTGAATCCCCCCCCAAATGGATACCTATCTTTTGTAGTGTGTTCTTAGTCTGACCTGCAGCAGGGCAGTGGAAACAGAAGACCCTTAAGGAGAAAAGTTGACAGAACTGTAGCAATGGTGGGCTGAAACTTAACAACGACTATGATGGCACAGGGTGGAGCAGTCTCTCGTTCTCTTGTGCATAGGGTCGCCATGCGTCAGAACTGACTCCACCGCACCGAGTAATCACAATCCTAAAAGGCAATGGTAATGAAAATGTAAAATTAACAAAGTGTTCAACCTAGGTCCTAATCAACTTACGATGGGGACATTTGTATGAAAAAAAATGGAATGAAAACACCATGGATTTTTCATGGATTTTATGGATTCCTGGGTGGTGCAAGTGGTGAAGTGCTGGGCTACTAACCGAAAGACTAGAATTTCAAACCACCCAGAGAAGCTCCGAAAAAAAGACTTGGAAATCTACTTCTGAAAGGTCACAGCTATCAAAGTCCCAAGGAGCAGGTCTACTCTGAAACTTAGGTGGTTCCCATGAGGAGAAATCGCTTTTATGCGACTCATAACACTGCCACTTTGATGGAAAATGATTATGACATGAATCTTTTCACGTCTCTGCTTTTAGGTTGGAATAGAGCATTAAAAATGGAATAACTATAAAAAATACAAACATTTTCTAAAGTCTCATGTTTATTGACAAATTACCCTGCATGAGGTTTGAATCAAGATGCATTCCCACATTCGATGCAGGAGAGACTGCCTTTTTATCAGACCTTCACCTATAATTCAATAGTTTTGTCCTTTGTGGAGCTTAAACAAGGATATCTCATAGTTATATGTAGCTTCTTTTAGAAAATCCTCATTGTGTTAGTCTAGGTAGACTAGAAAAACAAATTCATAGACACCCATGTGTATAAGAAAAACCTACAAATGGGCTTTGGGTCTCTACTCCGTACTCCCCCCATCATTCAC